ATTCACATGTTTTTTAAACCTTGTTTTCAACCCCACTAAGCATGAAACAGGTAGGTATTTGACGTAAGAATAAGTCTATTGGGTAAAATGTGAATAAACTCTAATGTATTTTTGCACTGTACTGTCTATGTGGTCTATATACAAATATGACAATGAACTGTAGTCTAGAAGTATCAGGTATTGTATTACAATTGGCAACTCAACCCTAACCCTAGCCCTAAAACACAAGCTTTCCTTTGCCCTATTAAACTCTGAATTAAATAATTATAAACGCTGAAGTTTTGCCACAGGAAATTTCAGATACGCGTTGAATCCAGCATTTTATACTGCACTTATTTGCTATACGGAGAAAATTTTATGTACAACGAATACGTCTCCATTTTTAGGGTACCTTTTTCCTAAAGGCAGTGTTACATCAACCTACATGGCAACTGTAAAATGTAAATTGCATAGTGAAACCTAGCCGGTATGTGATGAAACCGCGTTTTATTCTGAGCGCAGGACCTCGTCGCGGCGACTGTTTTGAATTTTGGGATAAGTATATGGTTTAGATAGTCTGTTGATTTTTTAAAGATTGCTTTTCACATTGTTTATATAATTGTAAGCCATTTTAGAAAATTGAAACTCGCGAGATTCAGAATTGGAACAAATGTGACCAAAAGTCCAAAACAAGGAACCGATCACATGGTTTCTCAGCACAGATTAGCTATATAGAAACACAGAAGTTTCATATCTGTATATAGCTAATCTGCGTTCATTTCAGATCTAGAAAAATGTTGGTGTTTGCAGTGTGACCAGATTTGGTAATTTTAATTACTTTTGGTAATATTTCACGATTCTTTGGACTTTTTTGGTAATTGAGTAAATTTAGTAATATTTTTGGTAATTTCGTCTAAAAGTTAGTAATATTTTAGTAATCTGCTGTAATGACACAAACTGTCATTCAAAAATTCATCCCAAGCTGTACCTACCCCCACCGACACCAAAATTTATGCTTCAAATCCATTTCAAACAATAGATATAATCATCTTATGGGGCTAGATGAGGTTACAACTCAATTATTGTTCCAATTGGATTCAACGCAACCAAAATGCAACGCTTAAATTATGCCTAAGAATACTTGCTAAATCAATATTTAGCTGTAAAATTCCCAGTAATTGATATTCATAGCATGAAACCTCTCTGTTTTATCAAAAAGACCCTAAAAAGCAGCTCTCTGAAGTGCGACATTGAGATGAGACTCAAAATTTTGTGTGGGTGGAAGACTGGGGATAGTAATTTTTAGCTTGTGGTAATTTTTAGCTTCATTTAGTAATTTTTGATAGGTTGGTTTGGTAATTGCATCTCGAAATGTCTGGTCACACTGGGTGTTTGTCGTTATGTGGTAGATCTGGTGGCAACAACGTCGCAAAGAAGGTTGCACAGTCTTACCAATTTCATTCTTAAAACAAAACGAATGACTTCAAATGAAAGTATTACTTAGAACAAAATTTATCCAAAATCAAATTGGTGATAAATTCTTCGTTAATAGATATCAGCGAGCGAATAACTATGAGTAACATCCAATAGAGTAGACCAATACATAATTTTGTTTTCCATTTTGAACTTTATATCTGTCGTTTTAATAAGCTAAACGCCTTTCAAACCAGCCCCTGATGTATAACTGCCTTTTAATATTTCATCATTCTAACTCGCATCTACTGTAGTTATACCAAAAGATTAAAATTAACGTCTGAAATGTAGTCTACACTTTTTATAAAGTTTGGTTTTAAATCAAAATACCTTAGCGTGGTTAAATAAAGTTCATCATCATCATCTCCTGATTATTTTCCCTCCAGCTAGCTTTCTCAATCGCGAAATCCGAAGGCTTTCCTTCGAGTTGCAATATCTCTCAGCACGTATTTTCTGTCTGACTCTAACCATAGACAATCCAAAAGACATTGTCTTTTGATATTTCCCTTTCAGAAATATATGCTCAATCTTGTTCCACGAATGGTTCCCCGATTGAAATATGCTTAAATGAGTTAAATCATTTCACTGGCTGCTTAAATTCCCAAAAATCCAAAAATTGTACGTACGGACTACCTCGTTCCCCGAGCCCGCGAGGCAAGCGCCTCCCCCAAACAAGGCAACATTTGTCTGATTGGTTGATTTTTACATTAGTTTCAGGCTTCTGTTCCAAGCGCGGGCAAAGCGTGAAAGGAAGTAAAAAACACAAAACATAGTATTTTCATATCCGGATTGTAGAAAAATCGGACAATGTTTTGGTTTGAAATTTATTTATACAAAAAGAAAAGTAGTCCGTCTTTCGTACCTCGAAGTATCGAAGGATTTGCGGTTTTTATTGATGTTTTGATCGCGTCGAAAGAAATGTCTCGCTAAATACGCGTGCGACATGACGAGAACGCCGGCACGAAGGACTTGTTTTATTTCCACATTTATTTCTTATGGATAAAGACTGTGAGGTCTAACTGGGTATTTTGTAATGGTGGAATACAGGTTATCAAATGACACCATAGTCGAGTTATAGGAATTTGGTTGACATGAATTAGGGCAAGCCGTATAAGAGGTGTGATTTTCTGTGAAGCGCAAGCCAAGAAATTTCCCGTGCCCTCAATGGTGGTCCGTTCAACAAGTTGTATTTGCTTAATGAACTGAGGAGTTCTCGCACATAATCTACTAAGGTATGTTATCTCACAGATTTAATGCAATAGGAAATTAACATATCGATCTGAAGTAACCAGCCTTGATTTGAAAATTATTTTGTTTGGCGTTCTGGTATTAACAAAAGTATTTTTTGTGATTTCGTAAATCTGATAAAAAATTCTCAAAAACTACACTACTTGTCTAGACTACCCAGAAGAACCCAGAAGGCTTGCTTGAAAAGACTTTAGGCGGGAATTTTGTTCAACTGGTTGTACGTTCAACTGGTTGTCATTCAATCCTTGTTGTATTTCGGTAATTTTACCTCGTTTGGTCAGAGTTTATAGGTTTATAAACAGTCTTTTTAAGGACTTATACTGTGTCAGCATGAGGTCTAAATTTTCTTGCTGTGTTTGTGGAAAGAAGTCCTCGAATTCTGGATTTATTAATTCAGGTTCAAAGGGAAAATGTCTTTGTAAGCCATGCAACGCGCGAAAACTACAGTCTTCAACGAAGAACCAACGAAAGGGACTTGACCAGAATGGCAATAACCGGCATTCATTCTGGCCAAGGCATCTCACAGGTCTCCATATTGCACCCGGGTTTTGCCAAAAAACAAACACATATTCATAGCATTTCATAAATATAATTTTAAAATCCACAATATTCTATATTCCACAATTCCTATAATAGGATCTTATCAAATGTTACCAATCATCAATCTTCAACACTGCTACATTGCCAATCATCTCATTTTCAAAAGGCACCCTCCAACACCCCTGCAATGGGCGCATAGCCATCTCGACAGGATCTGAATACCCGCAACTACATATAAAATAAAAATATTGACTAAAAACCATGGACACTATTTGCGAATAACAACTGCTGAATCCAGAGTAATTTGCTACTTAACCCTTATTTCCTTTTTAGTTTTTAGTAAGGCTCGTTTACACTGTACTCATTCTTTTGTCACAACATCTTTGTTTGCCTTTTAGAAGCAATATTTTACAGATTTTGATGATGCCTCTCAGAAGTAAGGATTTTTACAACCTTTCAATACCAACAAAATTGGACCCAAGCTAATAGCAATCATGTAAAACAGAAATTTGTACAAAAATATTTGTTCCAACACAAGGTCAGCGTCGGTGCCTTGGTATGACGTCATAAATTTATTATTCCATAAATTTGTAATAGAAACGCTAGAAGTTACTATTTCAAGCGAAGTGTTGCCTTAGGTTACGGTTTTCGATTAGTACGGTCACTCTGCGATGGGTATTTGCTGTTTATAAATTTGGAATATTTCCTTTTCCCAAAATTAGTTAAAAAAAACCCCGACATCCGGGACCAGGCAGATATCAAACCACAGCCAACAGGTATCAATGAACATTATGCAATCTTAAAGAACAAGGAGCAATGCTTCCACAAGGACAAGGAGCAATGCTTGACTTTTTTCTGAACTTGATTCATAAAAGTGCATTATACACTAGAATTGCACCATCGTGGAAATAAAACAGTCACACAGAAGTGGGAACGAATTGTTATATAATTTTCGTTCTTTTGTATTACTGATTAATTACATCGATTGCGCAGAAAATTAAGCTTCGCGTTTTTGGGCAACGAAAAACGACAGAGTTGGTCTTTTTTGCTTGATTATTCACGCAACATTTTTCACTTATTCTAAGGAGATCAGATCACGATACATTACAGTTAAAAAAACTGACAGTTCTGCCGTTTAACCCATAAACGCAAAGTTTGTAAGATTCCTAAAACATCTCTGATACAATGAGATGAAATACTTATTTACATTAATTAAAAACTGCATTAGCTTTCCTTCAATATACTACGAGATTGGTTGCTTAAAAGTAGGTTGACTTAATCCTGGATTAAATCTTTAAATCTTTACATCAAACTTTACACCATCTTAATCATGCTAATCCAGTAATCATTCCAGGGTCGATAGAAATTTTAATTTCTCACGTTTTAATATAAAAGACCATGCAGAAATACATATTCAAACACTGCTGTTTCAGATTTAACTCGTGAAGGGTTATAGTGCCAGTCAAACTTTAAACAACCGATCTGCAGAATCGTGCGGTCAACATTCGCCTTTTAATGTCAATTTCAACGCAGGTTTTTACTGAATAACTTGTATAATATATTTGTACTATTAATAATAACTGCGCAAACTTAAAGCGATTACATTCAACGTGATATATGGTAATGCCCTCTATATTTGGGCGCGCTACATTTGCGCTGATTAACTTAATTACTTTCGCAGGATTCGTACAGGTCAAGAAAAAACTCAGGTAAACACTGAATTTGATTAGGTTTAACTTTTGAATGAAGAAAACCAATTACTTTTAAATGCTTCTCCATAAATTTATTCAAGGACTTTCTATTCCTGTACGAACCCTGCATGTATCTTTTACGAGTGATCTACAACTAGGGGTTGGTCATAAAGTAATTTGCTGAAATACGTTGAGAGCGTATTCCAAAACTTGAAAAAGCCGATGATTGTGAAAAGGAAATGAAAAGAAAAAAAGCTCATGGTCGCTCACAGCACAGAATGCTGGCGATAAACACAAAGTTTTAGAGCAGAACGAATTGTGCCATTAAAATAATTTGTAAAAATGCGTCTTTGTAAAAAAAAACCTTCAAGAGACGAAGTACTAAAGCAGAAATTCATGATATTCAAAGAAAAATGTTCACCAAACCATTGAAAGAAAAACCGAGAAATTGCGCTAACAGAACTATGATGGACGTACGACAACCAGAGAAGCATGTTTCAACCACAAGAATGAGGGTTTTTTGGGTCAAATCAAAGAAAACTGAAACAAGTAAATATCCCACTATGTTACCTTGATGCATATTCACTGGGCTGATAAAGTGGCTATAAAGAGCTAGCATTGGGAAGTAGTGAATTAAAATATATTTTGTCGTTAAGAATGCGACAAAAATTTGGTTATAGTGGGTAAGTAATAACAGACAGAATAAAAAAACGAGAAAGACATCTGTTTGCAAAAGTTGTTGGAAGCCACAAATATTGATCCGAGAAAAGTTTTCCCACAAGACCCTCGTGTTTTACAGAAAATACAGCAGAGAGTCATACAGAAAACACGATATGAAACAAGCATCACTATGACGATGTGAAAGCGATTCGTTAAGAAACAAAAAATGACTAAAAGTGTAAAACAACCGTAGGAAACAGCCGAGAAAATTGGAGCCGTACTAAAATATCAAACTATTCGGCTAATTCAAATTTCTCTCGACCAGATACTTTATGACCAGTTCCAAATATCACTCTGAAATCACTCTGAAAACAGCTTAAATCAGCTTTTAGCTTTATATATACTCGCTAGTGTGGCTATAATCAAGCTGACGATATTTTTTTCTATTTTATTCTTATTCTATACGTTATCATGGAAAAGAAACAAATGGGTGTTTTACACAGAAACTTCGAGAAATTTCTAATTTTGATCATTTTTCACAATAATAACACTGACCTTTTAATTTACTGACTATGTAGTTCCTCAGGAACTCGATCTGTCTCAACAACTCCTGCACCTGGGCTTTCAAATCTTGATTTTCTGTTACAAGCTGATTTTCTTGTTGATTCAAACGAGCTTCTCTTGACGGACCGCGAACACGATTTGTTCTGCCATGGGGTTGTGCCAAAGATGAAGCTCCACTTGAGGACACAGGAAGTATTCTTTCTTCCACAGATGAAACTCCACTTGAAGACACAGGATTTAATCTTTCTTCCACAGATGAAGCTCCACTTGAAGACACAGGATTTAATCTTTCTTCCACAGATGAAACTCCACTTGAAGACACAGGATTTAATCTTTCTTCCACAGATGAAGCTCCACTTGAAGACACAGGATGTACTCTCTCTTCTATATCTCTAGAGCAACAGGGTTGTTCCATTCTCTTCTTCGACACAGGGAAAACTGCTTCGATAGGTTCAATGTCTTCTTCAAAGGGTCTCTTTCTGCTGCCAGGATTCACAATGGTGATAAGTTTGTTTCCGAGGAGGGGAGGAGATTCACCTGCACTGTGTAGAGAGATTGTACTGCTTTTAAGACTCGGATGAGTGATGCTGCGGGTTAAACAACCCGCAAATACGCCTGAATCAGTACTGTAAGGGGTATCTGGGGTAACATTAGATACCGTAGTTGTATTATCAAGTTTGCCGATGGATTCTAGAGTTCCTCTGTTGGGTTCCGAGGCTATATTGTCAGTTGTAGGTTCAGTGTTAAAAGAGTTCATATTTGACTCTTCTGACATTGTTGTCAGATTCATAAATTGTTCATGGAAGACTTGATCAGGTTCTTCTATTGTACCAAGCAAATCTTTAAAATTTTGCCAAAAAAGTTCGTGTAGAATTTCTTCTAGCAATTTTTGTTCTGCGTCGTTGTTTTCAGCTAAAAAATCTGCCGTTTCAACCCCGACGTTCTCAATGAGAGTTGACAATCCGTCAAAAAGTGGATTCTCTTGGGCTGCAATGTTGTCTTGAACTGAAGGATCTTCAGTATCACTAAATAGGTGGCCATAAAGAATATCCAAATTTGGTAGTTTATCTTGAAAAATATCTATAAAAAAAGTATATTTAAAAATATAAGAATATCGCCGGCTGTACTAGTAGAGCTTTTGAAGTGAACTGCTATATTTCTGTATAAAATTGTTTATGTTGTATACCTTCAAATATATCACTGTTATTCCTGTCCATCCTTGTAATTGCTCCGTGCACGAATTTCGCTTTTTTGCCTTGTAAACGACCCCGTTTCTTGAATAAGAAGCGGGAGCGAGTGGTCGTTTACCTTTACTAATTTGTATCGAAAAATTACAAACTCGCTCTGAGCACGCATTGTCATCTGTTGATAAAAACACGTCAGAATAGCCACAATTCAGTTTGGAATACGTCTTCTTCTTGGACAAACATGTCTCCGAGTAGCTACGGCCTTTCTTGGAATACACACTGTTTTTTGTTAATAAAGCCTTTCTTTTTTCACACCTCAATTTTTGCTTTGTCGCAAAGATCTGCAAAAAATATTTAGATAATGATCACAAGGATATCGGAAATAGCCTAAAATGTTTCCAGTCCATGCATAAAAAAATTAAACAAACGGCAGAAGATTTGGTTGATGGAAATAATTTTTTCCAGAATGCGCGTGTGATCACGTGATTGCAATCTAAGCGTGAGATGTCTTGTAAACTATTTCACGGAAATTTACGCGGAACCAGTGTCTTCCTTACTACACCAGCAGATGCAATGTCGGAAATTATGTAAATTAGGTTATTATGACATCACGTGAGTTAGGAAGACTTTGAATTGAAAAATTTGGGGGGTTATTGTAATATTAATTGGGACTTTGGGGAGTAAACAAGAAATCTAAAAACTGTGTGATGCGAGACGTGTGATATTGGGATCTTTGGTGAGAGTGTGGTCCCCACAGAAAATTATTTCAATGACTGCATAAAAGTGTATTTCCTTCGGCATCAGATATGTATTTGTATTCCTTGGTCAAATGGCCATGGTGTATTATGACATGCATATTAAATTCTATATCGTGGAACTTCGGACCTCTACATACCATGTTCTCCACCAACGGACGCTTTATCATCCAGTCCCATTTAGGCAAATCCAAGACCCGCAAAAACGACTTCTGATTTTCCCAAAATATACAAAAAAGGCATTCATTTAGTTTTTTACAATCTCATGAGTGGCATGCATACAGGAGGTGGTTAAAAAGCAGCCCCACACAGAGGGTATAAGCTCTTGTTGCTAGCAACTATATAAAAAGATAGCCCTAACAGATAATGTCTGTTTGCGACATGTGATTAAAGGAATAAATATAGGTTGCAAGATAAGTTACACGAATTGGCTTTTGGTTTATACTGTAATCCAAGACGGCGTGTTTTGAGCGAAAATTCAGAGATTTACTGATTTTGTTATATAGTAAATAAGAACCTCTTTGGCTATGAAAAATTTCTGGATAGGTCACATTGAAAGGTCAAAAGCAATGCTTTAAATAATAAGAAATATGTTAATTGTCATTAATTATTACGTAATTGTTATTAGGCAGGTTTTGAGACGAATTTTCATTACCACAAACGTCCTTATTACTCCGGCGTCAGCGACGGAGTTGAAAATTCGCCTCGGTTTTGTTTTGTTGTTTTTTTTTGTTGTTTTTTTTTTTTTTTTTTATTTTTCGTCGTCGCAAGTCTGAAATGGCGCGAAACTTTGTAGTACTTAAAATGTGTATGTAACCGTATTTATCTACGTCCCAGTCTTATCTTCTAAGTGTTGTGGTGTACCACTTTGGCTAATTTTCCGATGCGCGATTCGATTTCGCTCGCATGATACGGCAATTCCTCCAAGAGGAACCAATAAACCGTTGTTTTCATGCTGTTCGATTAAGTTTAGATTGAATTGGGTTAAGAATATATTAATACATGTTGATTCTGGTCCTATTTTAATAATATCACTGCTATTTCGCCGTTTAACAAGATGATGTGGTCGTGTATGGGCGCGTGGACACGTCGTAGTTTGCACAGGATTGAAGATTTAATATAACTATATAAGAACGAATTCCAAAGGCAAAGTGTAAGACAAAGCGAATGTATCATGCGGTTTATTTACATTTGTGAACAATTGAACTTCTATACTTTTTAAAGTACGATGTGCTTCTGGATTTCGCGATCGAACATTTATAATTATAGGTTTCGCAAGGTATCTAAATGCGAATATGAACTGTATTGTTTATGTTCAGAAGCCCTATATTAAAGACTGGCACGTGCGCCGGAGTTAACGCCAGAACAGGCGTCTTGTTACTCCGGCGTCAGCGACGGAGTTGAAAATTCGCCTCGGTTATGTTTTGTTGTTGTTTTTTTTTTTGTTTTTTTTTTATTTTTCGTCGTCGCAAGTCTGAAATGGCGCGAAACATTTTAGTAATTAAAACGTGTATATGACCGTATTTATCTACGTCCCAGTCTTATCTCCCAAGAGTTGTGGTGCACAGCTTTGGCTAATTTTCCGATGCGCGATTCGATTTCGCTCGCATGATACGGCAATTCCTCCAAGAGGAACAAATAAACCGTTCTTTTCATGCTTTTCGATTAAGTTTAGATTAAATTGGGGTAAAAATATATTTAATACATGTAGATTCTGGTCCTATTTTAATAATATCGCTGCTATTTCGCCGTTTAACAAGATGATGTGGTCGTGTATGGGCGCGTTGACACGTCGTAGTTTGCACAGAATTGAAGATATAATATATAAGCGCGAATGCCAAAAGCAAAGTGTAAGACAAAGCGAATGTATCATGCGGTTTATTTACATTTTTGAACAATTGAACTGCTATACTTTTTAAAGTACGATGTGCTTCTGAATTTCGCGATCGAACATTTAGGTTCGCAAGGCATCTAAATGCGAATATGAACTGTATTGTTTATGTTCAGAAGCTCTATATTAAAGACTGGCACGTGCGCCGGAGTTAACGCCAGAGCAGGCGTCTTGTTTTACAAAATTGGACTCAACGGGGAACGTATGGGGGTAATTTCTATTGACCATCTTCTGTATATGTAACGTTTCAATTTTCATTGACTATTGTTTATTAGTATACACCCGACTATTGTCTATTACAAATCCTACATTCTGATTGGCTACTCAATCATTGTCTATTCGTGATGGTGCACGGTTGGGAAAATTTCGCTCGCGCGACCGTATAAAATTGAATTATTTTTCGCTGTAATTGCGGTGTATCGATTATTTTCTCGAAATTAATATATCTAGGTACAGGGTGTATACTAAAACAATTAGACAACTCGCCTTCGTTGCCTATGAGCGAATAGTCAACTCAGGCTTCGCCTTCGTTGACTATTCGCTGATAGACAACTCGGACTCGTTGTCTAATTGTTAAGTAGACTACTTGTATACCTAGCGAGCAATTATAAAATGTAATTGTTCTTTACATCCTTACCAGGTTCTTCATCCCCTCCACCTTCTTCTTTAACTTCTTAATCTCCTTCATATTCGGTGTATCCGAATCCTGCAACAAATCCAAAATCTTCTGCTTCTTGTCCAATTCAGCCATTATTTGCTCGATTGGACTCTGAATTCGACAAATATGAATAGTTTTAACATAAATTTAACTTATTTAAAAAAAACAACATTATAACAATAAACAATTACAATTTATATTAATTTTAGTTTTTTCTTTGTAAAATTCCGTTAATTTTCAATTCAATTAATTCCGAGTTCTTTTTTAGTTTCATCTGTAAAACTTGCTGATTTGCTACTCAAGATTGCCAGCCAAACCGTCGTCTTCCACTTCGAAATGAGGTGATAATCAACAGCAGGGTGTATAGAATGGATAAAAAATCCATAACATAATGCTTACATATATACAAGCCTACAAATTGAAAAACGACCAACTAAGAATCAACTTCTATTTACTTTGCAATTTTATTTATACGTACCGAGGAGTAATGGTCTGATACAAGGAACGGCACCAGGCTCTCCACCAGTTTCTTCAGCACTTCCATCTTCAAGTTCATAATCTCCTTCATCATCAGTTTATCCGATTCCTGCTTCAAATCCAACATCTTCTCCATCGACTTCAATTCATCCATTGCGTCAAATGGCTCGTCTGTTCCCTGATTTACCAAAGATAAATAGTTTTAGATTGATAATTTTTCACAATAGAATACGGACGCTGGTATCATTGAACTGACCAAGGTTTTAATGACCAAAAAGAGTTTTGGTGAATGTGTGGTTTCATTTAGCGTGTTGATGGAATGAAGAGGAATAGTTGCATCAGGCAACTAAAGTTACACATTTAGTACATTCAGTAATAATCCTCATTCAAAACATGATCTTGAAACTCGCCAATAGTCAACCGCCAACTAAGAATCAACTCTGATTTAAGGCAACTATTATCCACATTACTCAATTATATTTACGTACCGACGAAAGGGAACTATGACAACCCAGGTTCTCCACCAGTTTCTTCATCACCTCCATCTTCAAGTTCATAATCTCCTTCATCATCAGTTTATCCGATTCCTGCTCCAAATCCAACATCTTCTCCATCGTCTTCAATTCATCCATTGCGTCAAATGCCTGGTCTGTTCCCTGATTTACCAAAGATAAATAGTTTTGGATTGATAATTTTTCACAATAGAATACGGACGCTGGTATCATTGAACTGACCAAGGTTTTAATGACCAAAAAGAGTTTTGGTGAATGTGTGGTTTCATTTAGCGTGTTGATGGAATGAAGAGGAATAGTTGCATCAGGCAACTAAAGTTACACATTTAGTACATTCAGTAATAATCCTCATTCAAAACATGATCTGGAAACTCGCCAATAGTCAACCGCCAACTAAGAATCAACTCTGATTTAAGGCAACTATTATCCACATTACTCAATTATATTTACGTACAAATGAAAAATAACTATGACAACCCAGGTTCTTCACCAGGCTCTCCACCAGTTTCTTCATCACCTCCATCTTCAAGTTCATAATCTCCTTCATCATCAGTTTATCCGATTCCTGCTCCAAATCCAACATCTTCTCCATCGTCTTCAATTCATCCATTGCGTCAAATGCCTGGTCTGTTCCCTGATTTACCAAAGATAAATAGTTTTGGATTGATAATTTTTCACAATAGAATACGGACGCTGGTATCATTGAACTGACCAAGGTTTTAATGACCAAAAAGAGTTTTGGTGAATGTGTGGTTTCATTTAGCGTGTTGATGGAATGAAGAGGAATAGTTGCATCAGGCAACTAAAGTTACACATTTAGTACATTCAGTAATAATCCTCATTCAAAACATGATCTTGAAACTCGCCAATAGTCAACCGCCAACTAAGAATCAACTCTGATTTAAGGCAACTATTATCCACATTACTCAATTATATTTACGTACCGACGAAAGGGAACTATGACAACCCAGGTTCTCCACCAGTTTCTTCATCACCTCCATCTTCAAGTTCATAATCTCCTTCATCATCAGTTTATCCGATTCCTGCTCCAAATCCAACATCTTCTCCATCGTCTTCAATTCATCCATTGCGTCAAATGCCTGGTCTGTTCCCTGATTTACCAAAGATAAATAGTTTTGGATTGATAATTTTTCACAATAGAATACGGACGCTGGTATCATTGAACTGACCAAGGTTTTAATGACCAAAAAGAGTTTTGGTGAATGTGTGGTTTCATTTAGCGTGTTGATGGAATGAAGAGGAATAGTTGCATCAGGCAACTAAAGTTACACATTTAGTACATTCAGTAATAATCCTCATTCAAAACATGATCTGGAAACTCGCCAATAGTCAACCGCCAACTAAGAATCAACTCTGATTTAAGGCAACTATTATCCACATTACTCAATTATATTTACGTACAAATGAAAAATAACTATGACAACCCAGGTTCTTCACCAGGCTCTCCACCAGTTTCTTCAGCACCTCCATCTTCAAGTTCATAATCTCCTTCATCATCAGTTTATCCGATTCCTGCTCCAAATCCAACATCTTCTCCATCGTCTTCAATTCATCCATTGCGTCAAATGCCTGGTTTGTTCGCTGATTTACCAAAGATAAATAGTTTTAGATTGATAATTTTTCACAATAGAATACGGACGCTGGTATCATTGAACTGACCAAGGTTTTAATGACCAAAAAGAGTTTTGGTGAATGTGTGGTTTCATTTAGCGTGTTGATGGAATGAAGAGGAATAGTTGCATCAGGCAACTAAAGTTACACATTTAGTACATTCAGTAATAATTCTCATTCAAAACATGATCTGGAAACTCGCCAATAGTCAACCGCCAGCTAAGAATCAACTCTGATTTAAGGCAACTATTATCGACATTACTCAATTATATATTTACATACCCAAAAAAAGGCACTATCCAGGCTCTCCACCAGTTTCTTCATCGCCTCCATCTTCAAGTTCATAATCTCCTTCATCATCAGTTTATCCGATTCCTGCTCCAAATCCAACATCTTCTCCATCGTCTTCAATTCATCCATTGCGTGGAATAGGTCGTTTGTTGACTGATTTCACAAAAAAAACTTAATAGTTGGCAATATTACATTTGTTACAGCAGTGTCATAAACGTTTCTGTAATGATTCATAGCGCGAAGCTGGTATCATTCAACTCCTAAAAGTTTTAATCAACCAAGAAAATGTATCTGAATATTTGGTTTCATTTACTATGTTGATGAGTTCAGGCAACTAAAGCTACACAACTAAGACATGATCTGAAAACTCGCGAACAGTCTTAATGTATTGTTGATAAAGACAATACATTCATTTAACGAAGACTTCAGTGCCATTGAAATAATTTGAAATAATTCCATGACTAGAATCGACTAATACAATCCTGTATGCACACGAGCGCTTCCAAAATTGTTTTTGTCTAGTTTATCGATTTGACGCCCTGTCTATACGGTCCATGGGCGAATATGCTCACTGTGTTAAATTGGCTTCAACTTCTATTGTCAACTGAAGCTGCTTGAAACTGTTTTGTCATGAAAACGAAAACGTTTGAAAACGATACTGTGCGCGCATAGATAACCCTTTATCAGGAGCGTAACTAGAACGCTGAACGATTATTGGGGGGGGGGGGTGAATATTCATATATTCAGTTCTGCCCGCCGGACCTCTATTGTAAGCTATTGCACTTACAAATAAAATCCGTCAGGCAGAACTTGATATATGAATATTCACCACCCCCATCCCCAATTATCGTTCTAGTTACGCCCCTGCCCTTTCTTGTTAGTAGTTGGGTAAAGGTCACGTTTAGGATTAAAATTAGGAAATATTCGTTCAACCGCTTTAATTCCACTTCCAAACGAGGTAATATTCAACAGCCAGTTGTGCAGAATGGATTAAAAAGCCATCACTTATAACTTAGAATTGTTGTAACACTTGCAACACTTATAGAGCCTAAATTTCAAAGAACCTCTAACTCAGAATCAACGCTGATTTAAGGCAACTATCGATATATCTCAATTATACTTACGTACCAATGAGAAATAATCCATGTTCTTCACCAGTTCCTTCATCACCTTTATTTTCAACATCTTAATCTCCTCCATCATCAGTTTATCAGACTTCTGCAGCAAATCCAACATCTTCTCCATCTCCTTCAATTTATCCATTGCATCAAATCCCAGTTTATTTGACTGATTTCACCGATAATGATAAAACACTTTAGATTGATTGTATTGACGTTTTCACAATGAATAACATTAATATAATTAGATCATAAATGCAAGAATTTCTCCATGCTAAATTGCTAAGAGAAATGCAATATTACATTTGTCACAGCAGTGTGCCAAGCGCTTCTATTCACACCAGAAAAGCTGGTATAATTCAATTGACATTAACCAACCAACAAAATTTTTGTGAATGTGTGGTTTCACTAATTACTATATTGATGAAATGTCGGAAAAGAAGAGAAATAGCTGGATCAGGCAACTTAAGCTACACATCTACGGATCTATAGCTAATCATAATTTTTGTTCATGAGATGATCTGAAAACTCACCAAAAGTCTGTTTTAAAATCTTCACTTCGAAATGAAGTAATAATCAATGGCAGGGTATTTAGAATGGATCAAAAAGCCATCACTTGAAACATATAAGTGTTATTGACCTATTGTAAGACTTATAGTTTATAGAGTAGCCAGCTCTTCCAACTGAGCTATTAGATCAAGAGTCAAGACGGTTCGAGTAATTGATATTTCGGAACTCAATCTAGTCCCTTCAATATCTGTGCATCTTAAAGTGCTAGTAATAGTGCATAAGACTCAGGTGTATATATGAAATGTAATCTGAGTCTTTGCACTACAACTACCAGTCTTTGTTCTATTGCTTGCTCATATTTATGTAAATTTCCCTACAATGAAGACAATCAATTATTCTCATGAAGCAATCATTCTGTGCCATGGTAGTTCTTCCATGACCAAAATCCAAAAATACATGCAATCTTTAATCAAATCCTTATGATTTACAATCTTTACTGGTGATCCCTACAGAGCTTTATTGCCACATTGACAGCTACCCAAATTTATATATTAATTAAATTTACTACACAACTAACACGAGTGATTTGCTACCCTCAAAAACATAATTATGCAGGGGAAGAAATCTAGCAAACTTTAAAGTTTCTTACCTGATACAGATCACTAGATTTCCTTTGCCTGATTATGTTTCTGAGGGCGGAAAATCACTAATCGTGTAGTAAATTTAATTAATGAAAATCCTTTTTCTGAATGATTAACATCTTCGATCTTTAGTTTGAAAATCATAGCAGCAGTATCAACAACTTTTGTAATAATGGCATATCAACTCGAAAAGCCATTGTATGTTTGTATCACCTATAAGGCCTAAATACTAAAAAACTCTGATTTCAAGCAATTATGGATATTACTATTTGACATACCATCAATAGAAAGAAAGGCTTACAATCCAGGTTATTCATCAGGTACCTCACCACCTCCATTTTCAACATCTTAATCTCTTCCATCATCAGTTTATCTGACTCCTGCTCCAAATCCAAGTTATCCAACATCTTCTTCTCCAATTCATCAATCCTCTTCCAACCCATGTTTCTTCTCTGATTTAACAAAGATAAATAACTTTAGATTGATAACTTCACAATGAATATAACATTAAATATATTTCAATCATAGATGCAAAAATGTCTTGACGCTAAAAAATTTAGGGGAACACCACATTACATTTGAAATAGCTGCATGCTAAAATTTTCTGTAATGATTCCTAACGTGGAGAATGGTATCATTCCACATTCAAAAATGTTCATTTGGATCTGTTGTACGTCTCATTCAAAATGTTTAAAGAATGAAGAGAAATAGCAATAATGTTTATTTTGAAGACATAATCTTGAAACTCAGCAACAGTCTTTGTTTTATTGTTTGCTCAAATTTCCATACAATGCAATTTCCAAACAACTCATATTCCATTGATGACAATGCATTATTTTCATGAAGAAATCATTCAGCACCATGGTACTAATTTCAGAATCCACAATTATAGTCCTAATCTAATCCATTAATTCTGAAGGATTCTAAAGGATTGGAATCCTTCAGAATTATGAAATTCCATCTACGTACCCATGAAAAGAAACACAAACAATTCTGCTCCAGTTTCTTTGTTACCTCCATCTTCAACTTCTTAATCTTCTTCATGATCAATTCATCCAGCACGAAATTTTTCTCCATCCTTTCCAAATCACCCCTCATCTCCCATGCCTTGTTTTTTGCCTTATTTCATGAAAGATAATTTTTTGACAATGATATTGAAATACCTTTTAAATGCCAAAATTCCTTGATATTGAAGGGCTCTCTCATATGTGTCATCCACTGTGGTGTGGTCACATTTAGTATGTTTATACATAGAATGCAGGATAAACCACAAGTTGGGGCTAAAGTCAACACTGAAGGGCCAAAAGAAGAGTTCAGGGGAGGTAGCCGGGAAGCTTTTGCACTTAGCATAAAATTATGTTACATGAAGTTTGATCTGCTTGTTAGTTTGGGGGTGCTAATGACAGTTTAATTCAGGGTACTAAGGGCCAAAAGGAGCTGTACATTATTTAGGAGATATGCATGTGGCATGTTGAAAATGGACAAGTCTTGCAAAATCATAATGCTAAAAAAAAACTTAAAACCTGCTATAATGATATATTTGTTTAAAAATTTAAAGTTCTCACAATAAATGAAAACCAGTGATATATAGCACAACAGAGTATGCCTGCATTCAGCCGTTCACACGGTACCGGATTGCTATCGGAGCAGGTCAAATTTTGACGTTAAGCGGAGTTTTAAATGTCTTAGCCCTGAATGAATATACTAAATCTACTAAATGAATATGCATTTGCTAATATAAAATGTTTAATTAACACAGCCTAAATTGTAGGTCAGGCTACACCAATGGGCTACACAGGCCTATGCTATCACAGGATCATCAGAATGCCATACACAAAGTCGTCTACACTTTTTGCCTAAGGGATATTTGTTATCACATAAATAGAAGCAAACTGCAAACATGCACTATTTGGAATTGCTAGTTTGGCTGAATGACAAGTAAATATAAACGAATTGCCCTTACGCAAAAAAATTGAGATATTAAATTTCATACATGCCAGCATGCTACTGGTTATATACATTTTGTGCTGGAATTTACTGCCTATATGCCAGTTACACTGTTACAAATTCATACAAATAATTTATGTTTCTTCTTACATAGTCAACTAGTACTTTTGTAATTCTCATCAATATCGTTGGTTGACCTGGTGATATATCATCCATCTCGTCCATCGCCTCACCGGGCTCACGATCCAATAAAGAATACGAGCTTCAGGAAAGGTTGGATTACCAATCCCTTCGTACAATTATGTACAGTTGATAATAAAACTGTCAAACGAAAGCAAGTCTTTTCTTTTCCAACGGTCAATAAACCTTACAAACCACTTCGAAAATCTGTTTAACGAAATGGCAACGGAAGTGTTCAGAGTTCTGCTTTTATAACCTTTTAAGACGGAAGTGTTTCCACTCAAAAAGACAAAAGGATTTCATTTCAGTTTGACAACAAATGATTGCAGTATTTTGTTGCGTTTGGATGCAATCACAAGTTGCAACGTAATTTGCATGATTGATTTGGAGCGCGTGATATTCTAGAACAGGGGGCGGTTATATGAAAGCCTGATAGCGCTATCAACCGGATAGTGATTTTTTCAACCCTTCAACCGGCTTTCATACAACCTGCCCCAGATATCACATGAAAGAAAAGTAAAAGAGCAGAAGGCAAAGAGTTTCTAAAATTAGCATTTAGCTTTTGACTAAACCACTTTGTCGTTTGGCTTTGTCGTTTGGCTTAACAATAACATGCATGTAGATTGGAGATTCTACGGTGGCCGACAAGGGCAACACGTTTATTAAGATAAACACATTTGTTTAACTCAAAAGTATAAATTAGAACTCAAACACAAAGAGTTGTATCGCAGGAACCTAAATATATTCCTAGCGAGAAATTTATTAACGTGAACACAAATTTATTAGCGAACACAAATTTATTAGCGAACACAAATTTATTAGCGAACACAAATTTATTAGCGAACACAAATTTATTAGCGAACACAAATTTATTAGCGAACACAAATTTATTAGCGAATAGATACAAAGTATGTGAAATATATGAAGTACACTGCTATGCAGTAACCGCTGATACAGACAAAGAGCAGACAGCCTGCGCTGCACCACCCGTTTCGTTTGTTTCCATACGGCTATTAGCCGGTAAAAAACACCCCAAACGGACGGGCTGTCAGCCGTGTAACGTACGTCTGTTTGTACGCTGAGTTCTGCCAATTATAGTTTCTACAGAAATTCTTTACCTAAATCTGAAGTTAAACGAAAAATCACGTTTATAATTTTAAAGAATGAAGTGGTAAGATACTGAACTTTAGAAGTACATGAGATTCTGCTGGAAAATGCGAATATTTTTATTTGTTATGAATTTAATTCTGGAATAAACGACGCCATCTTTTACAATCACAAGATTCTAATAATGTTTCTTTGGGCTATGAGTCAGTCAATTGGAAAGAGTTTACTCTTATAACAGTTTTTAACAGTTTTATTGTGGTATTTTTCTTTAATTTTTCAAAGTAAGGCAATTTTGTTAGGCATCTGGCTTGATGATATAACTAGTATGGGGTACATATTTATTTTGGTTTCTTTATATCAATGGTTTATATGAATTATGCAACTTTGCAATGATTTATAGGTAAGGACTGCAGAAACTGTAGGTCAAATTATATCAAATATGTACCATCTAAGTGATATTTGCTGATATGTGTAAAAAAAGTTGCCTAATTCAAGCCTTCTGTTCCTGTAGTCATTCATCATCATGATGGTCTTACAGAAATGGAGAAGGTTGCTCAGCCTACAAAGTTTTTACAAGAAAGTAATGATGATGAGATACATGAGCAAATTATATTTTCTGAAATAGAGGATGAAGGATTAGACAAGAGGATCAGTGAAGTTGATAGCACAACTCCTTATCAAAAAGCCCAGAGAAAACAAAAAGGCTTAGGATGATATGAGAACAGAAATGTTCACTATAGAACTGATCATGGAAGTAGAGATACTTGTAGCATACTTCGTCATGCAAGAACCATGCATATGCAAAATAAAAGCTATGGTACTTGCATGTATATATATGTTATTGACATATATGTGTCAATAAATGTTGAGAAGTATTTTAATGATTTTATTTTTATCCACAGGCATTCTTAGTGATTGTAGTGTGGACTGTGCAATCTTCCTCAGATTGTTCACCTATTGCAGTTTGAAGATACAAGCAAAGAGAAATTTTCAAATAATGTCATATTTCTTTAATCCTATCCTTTCTGTTATGCAAAATATATGTAATAAATAAACCATTGGGTGTGTAGTGGTGGTATATTGTTGTCGATATTGTTCTTGAAAAAGCTTTTAATGCAACCATAACAAAACACCATTAATATTATAACTATACATTTAAAACACTGCATGTAGCTCTATAACATATACCTATGCTGTATGGTACATGGTGTATGAATGCTGATATTACATAGTTTGCAGCATGAAATCATATTCACGGCTGGCAGCCGTATAACGTACGTCCCCTGTATAGTATATGGTGTATGAATTCTGATATTAGAAAGTTTGCAGCATGAAATCATATTCACGGCTGGTAGCCGTATAACGTACGTCCGCTGTATGGTATATGGTGTATGAATGGTGACAGAAAGTTTGCAGCATGAAATCATATTCACGGCTGGCAGCCGTATAACGTACGTCCGCTGTATGGTATATGGTGTATGAATGCTGATATTACATAGTTTGCAGCATGAAATCATATTCACGGCTGGCAGCCCTATAACGTACGTCCGCTGTATGGTATATGGTGTATGAATGCTGATATTACATAGTTTGCAGCATGAAATCATATTCACGGCTGGCAGCCCTATAACGTACGTCCGCTGTATGGTATATGGTGTATGAATGGTGATAATCCTCAAATATATTGTCTACGCTATGTAAAGACAACAAGTTTTGCCCTTTGAAGCAACAACAGTTTTGATACAAAAGTGAATCGATATACTTCTGAATACTCCGAATAGAACAAATGACTACAAATAAACGCTCCGGCAGCCTTTTTATACCAAATGATTCAGCCGTTTCGGTGAAAACCGAAAATATGTGCAATAACACATAAGTCTTGCAACCTGCTTTCTGTGTAGTTTGTAATTGTTACGATTCATGCTATTAATGTGTGTCTATAATAAATTTTCCTATTTCAGAAGAAAATAAAGAACTCAAGCAATAATCTTACATCATTTCTTGAACTCAAGATTGTGGGCCTTAATTTGCGGCACTTCGCCATAATTTAGAGCATAGTCACTCTAGGGGGAAGATTAGAGGCAAGATTGAATCGTATATAGATCCCACAAGCTCTTGCCTCTTCGTGTACAATAAAAAAAATTTTATCACCGTTTTTTTTTCTAGCCTGTATTGTATTGCCACTATAGAACTCAGTGATTGCAACTCTAAATAACTTTATTTTAGTCAAGCCAAATGATTGCAGATTTTCTGGCGCAGAGATGCAACCACAAGTGCAATACATAGTCAGGGGCATGCTGGGATATGATGGAACATAATTTACAATATAACCAAGGAGCAGCATGGCAGCGTCTTCAAACAACTTAGCATCAAATGTGAAATGTGATATAACAACTGCCAACTCGGGTTGTATGTTAGTATGATACTAACTCTTCTGACGAAGGCCCTCAGGTCGAAACGTCAAGAAGTGTTTTGTCTATTTTGGCAGTTGTTATACCACATTTGATGATAACATAATTTACATAATGATTGGACTAGCCAGGACTAAATGCCACTGAAATTATTAAGACAAGGTCAAGAAAGGCTAAAATCGTTGTTAGAAAGGCGTGAAATTTGGCGTAAAGTTTCTAGACCGTCCATTCCATCATACTGACAAAGGTCTTGGTTGACAAGGTACAGCAACCAGCGTAATTCAATTCACGACAAGATAAAGACCTGAACACTGCTCATTGAAAAACCTAAAATATTATACAACGAGAATACTCGGAATGTCATTCAAATTTTCTTAGAGTAACACTAAAATAAGCATTATAATCGTTTGTCTTTCACTTTGTCTGCGATAATTCCGGCAATAATTTTCCGGAACATTCTTGAAATAAAAATCGCAGCAGGACGCCATAAAACATAATTTAGAGGCAAGGCTAAATCCTGTGAATTCTTGCCCCATAGTTCTAGACTTCTAGTCCTACAGACCCCAGTGATAAAAATATTTTACTTCCTTATTTCAGCTCGTAAAATATACCGTAATATCCAGGCAATGCAGTCAGAAAAACATTTAATTATATAACTATGTGACGCGGGTAAGCATTGACAGTGCTGTGCGGGAGGCCGGGAGTTAACAATTTTATGAGGGGGCGTTGGGGCCTACTGGAATCCGAAAAACCGCACAAAAAAACAAAAAGCCGAAACCCCGTAGTAAATTACGACCAAAACCGAAAACCGGGTACAGACCCGTATACTGCATAACCATACGTTTCATATCCCATACCAAATCGGAAAAAACCCAACGCCCCCCTCTTTTATGCATGTTTAACCGTGTAAGTTGTAATGTGTGGAAGTTGAAATAAAAGTGCTCAAAGATAAACTTTATAACGTGTGTGACAACTATTATATTCAGATACACGCATGATAATGTCTCAGCCTATTTCTCAGCTGAAGGTAACTCTGACGTATCACAATATCACATAACTCTTTTCACGATTGACTAAAACAAATGTACAATTTACTAACTGCGCTATATGACTGTTGTTTAAACCTTTGAAATACATTTTAACTATTGGTTTCGCACATTGGTACACAATGGTACACAATTCCAAATATCACTGTCATTGGTCCACTTTTAAACTAAAGTCTAGAGTTAACTGACTGCTATACAACTGGAAACTGATTTATAAACGTGCCTCTCTCGAAGAAACGGTTTGGGTCCGAAGCCAGTCTCTCGAAATCTTCTAATTTCGTTATCAAAGCTTCTCTGGCCAGAATCAACTTGACGGCAGTCTCCCAGTGCTGTAACACCTGTTGGACATAGTGAATTTTAAATACCATACAAAAGATAATGGAAATAGTTAAAAACTAAATTATGATGGATATTAGATTGGTGTTTCCATATCGAAAATTCACTGCGGCAAGTCAGCGAGTAGTCCCCATCCATGAAAAAAGTTGAACCCGACTCGAGTCGGCGACTACAAACTACGGAGTTTCACGACGATTCACGACGCGGCTAGCTCGACGACGCGCTTGCAAACAAATAAAATTCCACACGCGAGAAACAATAGGTATGCATCATGGTATGCATAATTTGTGGTCCCGTGACAGCGTTCTCATTCTTACGACGCCTTCAAATGAGGCATTTTCACAGCCTCTCAATGACATGAAAGCAGCGGTAACGTGGTAGCTGTTTGAAAGCTTATATGAAACATCTTATAGCCCAATTGAAACGTTTGTCAATTTCCTGTAGCTCATTTCAAGCAAAATCATTGACTAGCGACGTCGAGCTAACCGCGTCGTAGATCGTAAACTACCTAGTAGTCGCAGATGTCGCCGACGACGTGTTTACGCAGACTCGAGTCGGCGGCATGTCGGTGCTTATATGACCTGATTTATTTAATAATTCATGCAAATTAATGCATAAATATCTGCGCCATTTTGGTTGGTATGTGTGTATCTCTATAATCCAGTATACGTTTAACCAAACATTGTGTGGTATACTGCACGAGTTGTACGATATAAAAAGGAGATCACTCGCGTTGTCAGGCTACCTCCAATATTTATGATGCCTGATCCTGACCAAGTACAGCGTGATCCGAACTCAAGTAACTTATTCCCAGGTAAATCAATACATTTTCTTTCACCACTTACCACTAGGAATGAATGGAACAGTTTACGGTTTTCAAACCTACAGCAGGAAGTTACGATTTGGCCACTCATAACAACGTTTAAAACAAAACTTGAAGTAAACATGGTTTAACACTGGATATATGCCTATTGGATATATGAATATATAACTATTCTGGCAAAGGAAACCATACTTGTCATTAAATTATTAAGGAGCTTAGCCCTACTTTCAGACTGGCATAAGAGAACAAGAGGGCCATATCTCCCACCAGACACCCCCCCCTCGACAAATCTACCATGACTTAATATACTTATACCTTTCCTTCTGGTTCCAGGTATACCCGAGGCACTAGATAATGTCAACATACCAAGAGACCAGCGACCAACACAAGAAACATGTCCACCAAAACATTAGAAATGACGGACAACATTGAAAAACCCCTAAAAACAAAAAATGAATAATTAAAAGAAGAATGAACATAGTATATTTTCTTAGTTTTAGTTTTAGTAATGTCTGACATATATATTAAAAATATAAGTTTGATTAGAAATCAAAAATAAGTCCTAGACTAGTTCATATATAAACAGGAGGGAATTCTAGTTATTTAGAAACATTCAATGTAATTAGAATTTTTTTTTTAAATCTGGACAGTTTTTTATGATTTATTTTTAAAATGCACAACTTCAATAATGTAATAATATTTAATAATTTGTTATGGGTGTATTTGTAATGATGGATAATGTATGCATTGTGTAAATCTTTGACTGCAAAAGGTGCCCAAAGCACCTGCACTAAAACATCATGCTGTTGATGCAAGACATTACTTAGAATTGTTTAAAACACAACAGAATTCTATGATCATTGTGTAGATGTAACAAATAATGGTATCACTGTCTAGCAAAAGCATTCAATGCTCCACATTATATGTCTGAAGATACTGAATTATCAGTAAAGAATTATTTTTACAAAATAATGTGGGTATATAATGTGTGTTTTGATTGATCGAAGCCCCATTTGGATCAGGCCATCCAAACACGGAAATTCACTTATGGAAATCAAACTTGGAGCACTACCTTGTTGTTGTTTTTTATAAAATAATTACTTAATGGTTTCGTGGGTTTGGATGGGCTGATCCAAACACTTGGAAATGTTGCTTGAGTTAGGAAAAGCTTGCAAAATCACTCAACTTTGGCTTATGTTTCGCGCACTTTTCTTAACTCATTCACACATGCTTGGATCAGACCATATTGTTTAATCACATGTTATTGGTGATAAAAATATTTGTCTTGACCTTTTGTAATTTTAGCTTATATGAATTCCTACCAAAATTATAATTGTAGCCATTGTAATATAGTCATGTATTTTGTATATCTAAGTAATTTATATAAAGTAATTTTGAATGTGGTAGCCAGTGGCAGATCTAGGGGTGTGCAGAATAAATTACTACAGCTTTAAATCGGAATCACATTGGCAGATTTTAATGTAAAAATATTATTTTCAAAACCAATAGCGTTGTTATTAAAGTGTTTTGAATTTAAAATTAAGCTGTGTAATTTATTCTGCACACCCCTAGATCCGCCACTGATGGTAGCTGCCTTTTTGTTTGCCTTCAGGTAGGAAACCAGATGCAATAATTGGGGAGGGTGCATATTAATATTTTGTACTGCCTGATTGGTCAACCTACAATTCCCAATTTTGGGCAAATGCAGATCTTTCTTATTCTCATGAACACCCTAATTTCACCTTATTTATTTTAAAATTTAGCGTAAACATTAAATTTGATTAACCAAATTCCTTTTTTGCATACTTTCTCTTGACAACTAAGAAAGCATATGCACTAGACAAGTTATTTTCACAAAATGATATGCACGAAGTACAGAAGAATCCAGTTTTAATACCACTATTGCTGACAGCCATATCGTTAATTTTATTGACTAAAACACTTTTTATAACACTTTCAAGCATGACAACATACTGTTTCTCTTATTGGGAAACATGGCAGTTTAAGCAACACATACCTCAAACAGCTTGAAAAGAACAAATGTCAGCTATGGCACAGTCAGAATAAAAGCCAAGGCACCTTGCAAACTCAAGACACAAGCTATAAATTAAAACAATACAGAATTATTAAATATACCAACCATTCTTTTTTACAGAATGACCTGATTTCCATATTACTTATTTTAGCATGCCAGAGTCAAATAATTATTATATTCACATGTTTTTTAAACTTGTTTTCAACCCCACTAAGCATGAAACATAGGTAGGTATTTGACATAAGAATAAGTCCACTGGGTAAAATGTGAATAAACTATAAGGTTCTTTTTCACTGTACTGTTGATGTGGTCTATATACAAATAAGACAATGAACTGTAGTCTAAAAGTATCAGGTATTGTATTAGAATTGGCAACTCAACCCTAACCCTAAAACACAAGCTTTGACAGCTTTCCTTTGCCCTTTTAAACTCTGAATTAAATAATTATAAGCACTGAAGTTTTGCCACAGGAAATTTCAGATACGCATTGAACCCAGCATTTTCTACTGCACTTATTTGCTATACGGAGAAAATTTTATGTACAACGAATACGTCTCCATTTTTAGGGTACCTTTTTCCTAAAGGCGGTGTTACATCAACTTACATGGCAACTGTAAATTGCATAATGAAACCTAGCCGGTATGTGATGAAACCGCGTTTAATTCTGAGCGCAGGACCTCGTCGCGGCGACTGTTTTGAATTTTGGGATAAGTATATGGTTTAGATAGTCTGTTAATTTTTTAAAGATTGCTTTTCACATTGTTTATATAATTGTAAGCCATTTTAGAAAATTGAAACTCGCGAAATTCAGAATTGGAACAAATGTGACCAAAAGTCCAAAACAAGGAACCGATCACGTGGTTTCTCAGCACAGATTAGCTATATAGAAACACAGAAGTTTCTTATCTGTATATAGCTAATCTGTGTTTGTAGAAAGTGGCAATGTCATCTGGTGCACAACGTCGCAAAGGTTGCACAGTCTTACCAATTTCATTCTTAAAACAAAACGAATGACTTCAAATAAAAGTATTACTTAGAACAAAATTTATCCAAAATCAAATTGGTGATAAATTCTTCGTTAATAGATATCAGCGAGCGAACTATGAATGCTCTGCATCCAATAGAGTAGACCAATACATAATTTTGTTTTCCATTTTGAACTTTATATCTGTCGTTTTAATAAGATAAACGCCTTTCGAACCGGCCCCTGATGTATAACTGCCTTTATTTCATCATTCTAACTCGCATCTACTGTAGCTATACCAAAAGATTAAAATTAACGCCTGAAATGTAGTCAAGGTTGGTTCCATATTTTCAAGCATTTAAACATGTAAGATTCAGATAGATCATATAATAGTGTATTACACTTTTTATAAAGTTTGGTTTTAAATTAAAATACCTTAGCGTGGTTAAATAAAGTTCATCATCATCATCTCCTGATTATTTTCCCTCCAGCTAGCTTTCTCAATCGCGAAATCCGAAGGCTTTCCTTCGAGTTGCAATATCTCTCAGCACGTATTTTCTGTCTGACTCTAACCATAGACAATCCAAAAGACATTGTCTTTTGATATTTCCCTTTCAGAAATATATGCTCAATCTTGTTCCACGAATGGTTCTCCGATTGAAATATGCTTAAATGAGTTAAATCATTTCACTGGCTGCTTAAATTCCCAAAAATCCAAAAATTGCACGTACGGACTACCTCGTTCCCCGAACCCGCGAGGCAAGCGCCTCCCCCAAACAAAGGCAACATTTGTCTGATTGGTTGATTTTTACATTAGTTTCAGTCTTCTGTTCCAAGCGCGGGCAAAGCGTGAAAGGAAGTAAAAAACACAAAACATAGTATTTTCATATCCGGATTGTAGAAAAATCGGACAATGTTTTGGTTTGAAATTTATTTATACAAAAAGAAAAGTAGTCCGTCTTTCGTACCTCGAAGTATCGAAGGATTTGCGGTTTTTATTGATGTTTTGATCGCGTCGAAAGAAATGTCTCGCTAAATACGCGTGCGACGGGACGAGAACGCCGGCACGAAGGACTTGTTTTATTTCCACATTTATTTCTTATGGATAAAGACTGTGAGGTCTAACTGGGTATTTTGTAATGGTGGAATACAGGTTATCAAATGACACCATAGTCGAGTTATAGGAATTTGGTTGACATGAATTAGGGCAAGCCGTATAAGAGGTGTGATTTTCTGTGAAGCGCAAGCCAAGAAATTTCCCGTGCCCTCAATGGTGGTCCGTTCAACAAGTTGTATTTGCTTAATGAACTGAGGAGTTCTCGCACATAATCTACTAAGGTATGTTATCTCACAGATTTAATGCAATAGGAAATTAACATATCGATCTGAAGTAACCAGCCTTGATTTGAAAATTATTTTGTTTGGCGTTCTGGTATTAACAAAAGTATTTTTTGTGATTTCGTAAATCTGATAAAAAATTCTCAAAAACTACACTACTTGTCTAGACTACCCAGAAGAACCCAGAAGGCTTGCTTGAAAAGACTTTAGGCGGGAATTTTGTTCAAATGGTTGTAGGTTCAACTGGTTGTCGTTCAATCCTTGTTGCATTTCGGTAATTTTACCTCGTTTGGTCAGAGTTTATAGGTTTATAAACAGTCTTTTTAAGGACTTATACTGTGTCAGCATGAGGTCTAAATTTTCTTGCTGTGTTTGCGGAAAGAAGTCCTCGAATTCTGGATTTATTAATTCAGGTTCAAAGGGAAAATGTCTTTGTAAGCCGTGCAACGTGTGAAAACTACAGTTTTCAACGAAAACCAACAAAAGGGACTTGACCAGAATAACCGGCATTCATTCTGGCCAAGGCATCTCACAGTCTCCATATTGCACCCTGGTTTTGCCAAAAAACAAACACATATTCATAGCATTTCATAAATATAATTTTAAAATCCACAATATTCTATATTCCACAATTCCTATAATAGGATCTTATCAAATGTTACCAATCATCAATCTTCAACACTGCTACATTGCCAATCATCTCATTTTCAAAAGGCACCCTCCAACACCCCTGCAATGGGCGCATAGCCATCTCGACAGGATCTGAATACCCGCAACTACATATAAAATAAAAATATTGACTAAAAACCATGGACACTATTTGCGAATAACAACTGCTGAATCCAGAGTAATTCGCTACTTAACCCTTATTTCCTTTTTAGTTTTTAGTAAGGCTCGTTTACACTGTACTCATTCTTTTGTCACAACATCTTTGTTTGCCTTTTAGAAGCAATATTTTACAGATTTTGATGATGCCTCTCAGAAGTAAGGATTTTTACAACCTTTCAATACCAACAAAATTGGACCCAAGCTAATAGCAATCATGTAAAACAGAAATTTGTACAAAAATATTTGTTCCAACACAAGGTCAGCGTCGGTGCCTTGGTATGACGTCATAAATTTATTATTCCATAAATTTGTACTAGAAGCGCTAGAAGTTACTATTTCAAGCGAAGTGTTGCCTTAGGTTACGGTTTTCGATTAGTACGGTCACTCTGCGATGGGTATTTGCTGTTTATAAATTTGGAATATTTCCTTTTCCCAAAATTAGTTAAAAAAAACCCCGGCATCCGCTGAGACCAGGCAGATATCAAACCACAGCCCACAGCCAACAGGTATCAATGAACATTATGCAATCTTGAAGAACAAGGAGCAATGCTTCCACAAGGACAAGGAGCAATGCTTGACTTTTTTCTGAACTTGATTCATAAAAGTGCATTATACACTAGAATTGCACCATCGTGGAAATAAAACAGTCACACAGAAGTGGGAACGAATTGTTATATAATTTTCGTTCTTTTGTATTACTGATTAATTACATCGATTGCGCAGAAAATTAAGCTTCGCGTTTTTGGGCAACGGAAAACGACAGAGTTGGTCTTTTTTGCTTGAATATTCACGCAACGTTTTTCACTTATCCTAAGGAGATCAGATCACGATATATTACAGTTAAAAAAACTGACAATTCTGCCGTTTAACCCATAAACGCAAAGCTTGTAAGCTTCCTAAAACATCTCTGATACATTGAGATGAAATACTTATTTATATTAATTAAAAACTGCATTAGCTTTCATTCAATATACTACGAGATCGGTTGCTTAAAAGTAGGCTGACTTAATCCTGGATTAAATCTTTAAATCTTTACATCAAACTTTACACCATCTTAATCATGCTAACCCAGAAATCATTCCAGGGTCGACAGAAGTTTTAATTTCTCACGTTTTAATATAAAAGACCATGCAGAAATCCAAATCCAAACACTGCTGTTTCAGATTTAACTCATGAAGGGTTATCGTATTTAAAGGAATTATGGATGTTATGTAATATAATCTCAAAGGTTTCCCGCACATGCAACGAAGCAGTCTCAATATAAATGCTTTTCAGACCATAGACAGCTAGACATCTTGGAATCAAGCTTGATAATGATATATTTATTGATGCAGTTTCGGTCGAATAATCTTTGTGTGACATGGAAATAAATGACCGCCAGCATGTTTTAACGGTTTAACCTATACAATACATTAACATTAATGCCACTTACTCTACGTGCTCTGGAGCAGAAATACTTTTGAAACCAAACATACGTCTTGTTAAAAAGCAAGGACACCACATCTCCCTCAATCTGATGTCGCATGACTCGCATCCACGAATTCGACAGAAAACTTATCAAATTTTCCTAAATATTCAAGAGTAAACGTTTCATTTTTTGCAATTTACATGAATGAAATTTTAACATATTTAAGCGCCGACAATTGGGTAATTTCCATTCCTCGTCATTTGCTAAACGGTAATAAAGATGAGCATTTTATATTTTCATAAATTCATAAAAGATATAATGATATATTATTGACTTTCGTATTGTAATTTCATCAGCGCCAGCGGAGAAGCAAGCTAGACAACAGTATAGAAATTCATTGTTTTCACAGTCAATGAACACCAGAATTTTATTTATATTAGCATAGGAATAGTAAATTGTGAAGATATCACTTGGTTGGCGACAGCCTACGCTACTGACGTTCGTAATATAATTGAGATCTCGCCCATGCAACAACAAGGAAGGTAATATTTGATATGTATAGAACACTATATTGTGTTGTTCTAAAACTTTTTTTATCAGATACTAGTATAGTTTGCGAAACGATGTTTCATCCATTCAAAGCCTCCTCGCTGGAAGACTAAAGACTTCGTTGCATTGTAAATATAAAGCTTATTAAAACCGATAACAAAGTGAACGGATACATTCTTTAATCTTGCACAAACAGAGGGTAAAATGAATTAATGAAAATTACTTGTGTCAAGACTTAAGTACCTGATCTTCGTCATTGACATCACCAACCATAATCCACCAAGAAATTGCCAGACAGAGAAACAACAGGCTTATCTGAAAGGTTGGAATAACAATTTCCGTGTCAAATTGTACATGGTACATAATAAAACCTCGCTCTAAAATCTCCGAAGTAGAATAGAAGGAAACTATAATTGTACTGTTTCGAATACCTTTTTCTTCCTGTCCATCATCTTTCAGTTAATCCTCAAATATATTGTCTACGTTATGTAAAGACAACAAGTTTCGCTCTTTGAAGCAACAACAGTTTTGATACAAAAGTGAATCGATATACTTCTGAATACTCCGAATAGAACAAATGACTACGACAAATAAACGCTCCGGCAGCCTTTTTATACCAAATGATTCAGCCATTTCGGTGAAAACCGAAAATATGTGCAATAACACATAAGTCTTGCAACCTGCTTTCTGTGTAGTTTGTAATTGTTACGATTCATGCTATTAATGTGTGTCTATAATAAATTCTCCTATTTCAGAAGAAAATAAAGAACTCAAGCAATAATCTTACATCATTTCTTGAACTCAAGATTGTGGGCCTTAATTTGCGGCACTTCGCCATAATTTAGAGCATAGTCACTCTAGGGGGAAGATTAGAGGCAAGATTGAATCGTATATAGATCCCACAAGCTCTTGCCTCTTCGTGTACAATAAAAAAAATTTTATCACCGTTTTTTTTTTCTAGCCTGTATTGTATTGCCACTATAGAACTCAGTGATTGCAACTCTAAATAACTTTATTTTAGTCAAGCCAAATGATTGCAGATTTTCTGGCGCAGAGATGCAACCACAAGTGCAATACATAGTCAGGGGCATGCTGGGATATGATGGAACATAATTTACAATATAACCAAGGAGCAGCATGGCAGCGTCTTCAAACAACTTAGCATCAAATGTGAAATGTGGTATAACAACTGCCAACTCGGGTTGTATGTTAGTATGATACTAACTCTTCTGACGAAGGCCCTCAGGTCGAAACGTCAAGAAGGGTTTTGTCTATTTTGGCAGTTGTTATACCACATTTGATGATAACATAATTTACATAATGATTGGACTAGCCAGGACTAAATGCCACTGAAATTATTAAGACAAGGTCAAGAAACTAGGCTGAAATCGTTGTTAGAAAGACGTGAAATTTGGCGTAAAGTTTCTAGACCGTCCATTCCATCATATTGACAAAGGTCTTGGTTGACAAGGTACAGCAACCAGCGTAATTCAATTCACGACAAGATAAAGACCTGAACATTGCTCATTGAAAAACCTAGAATATTTTACAACGAGAATACTCGGAATGTCATTCAAATTTTCTTAGAGTAACACTGAAATAA